TTTGGGGTTTGGGGTTTAGGGTTGATCATGACACAGCACCGCACAAACCAATGTACATACACACACGCATGCATTGAGCTTACGCTCGCTGAGGTGCTGTCGCTCTGCACCCCACTGAACCCCCAATCGTCAACGTCAAAGGAAACCCTCACCATAAACCGTAGACCGCTCTGAAAAGAAAAAAACCCTGTTCAAGCTCCCAATTCCAAAAAACGCTCCCCTGGGCTCCCAACTGCCGGGCGCCCAAAGTCGCGAGGCCTCCAGGAGCCAAGGTGCGAGTCGGAGGTTGGAGTGGTGCCCTAAACCCTGCACCACTCAGGTTTCGGGTCTCCTAAATCTTTGTAAATCTTAGGTGTGAAGGCCTACTGCAATCTGTTGGTTTCGGAGCTTCGTCGTGCTTATTTTAATGTTTCCTAAGCCCGCAAAGCCCCTCGAACCAACAGAGCCCCCGCTGCGAGAACCCGAGGCACCTAAACCCTAAAGCCAAAGCCTTAAGGCCTAAACTCTCGAATCCGATGAGCCCGAGCCCAAGACACTAAACACTGAAACCTCAAGCCTGAAACCATATAAGACTCCATGAAAGCTGTGTACAACAAACTTGGAAGGAGGTTCAAGTGGATGCAGCGCCGAAAGGCAACGACGTCGCTACGAAGCCCTATGCGAATCCAAGAATCAGACGCGGCAGTAGTGCTGATTCGAGGCACCACCCCACCACCGGAAAGACTGGACGTTCTGAAACGGCCAGTGACAGACAGCCACGAGGGAAAAGCGAGCTTCAATCTGAATCCACCAACCTCTGTGGCGATGANNCGAGGTGGCAACGACGAACAAGAAGAAAAGGAAGAGGACGATGTCAATGGTGGTGATGATGAGGATGATGATGATGATGACGATGATGAGGATGATGATGATGATGATGGTGATGATGATGATGCTGAGGAGGAGGAGGAGGATTAGGATGATGATGTGATGATGATGACGATGATGATGATGATGATGATGATGATGACGGTTCTGATGCTGAGGATGAGGATGATGATGATGATGATGACGATGACGATGATGATGATGATGACAAATGATGCCCATAACACGGAGGAGGAAGAAGAAGCGGAGAAAAACACGATCGATTACCACCAAGGTCAGTAGTTAAAGTGGCATTGGCAAAGATGATGGTGATGACATGGGTAATGTGGCGGTGAAATGACTTTGGGATCTTGCCTGGTCCAAAGACTGCTACGACCCACATCAGTGCAACTGGCATGATTGCCATCCCTGTCACCGCGATGCTTTGAACTTGAGGGCTGGGTTTGGGAGTTTGGGGTTCTGCGGGCTGTCCTTCGCTGCTGCGGCCTCCGCTCGATCACCGCCGCAGTTCCTCGAGAGCACTGGCCCAAGGGCTCAGCGGATGGGATTGAAGTCATCACGGCTGACTCACTGCTACGCTATGCTGTGCTGGAGGTTGTATACACTGGGCTGCAAATTGTTGCCAACCAAGCCTTTTGACAGTGGCGGGCTAAACCTAGCAGATCCCACGGCAAGAACACACCATGATTCACCATTACACAGTTTTTTTGCAGGTCGAAGCTCCTCCGGTATCTTCGGACAACAGTGCAACAGAGCGCTCAGTGCACCCTGACCTCTTCAAGGACGACAAGTGCAAATCGAGCGACCGTTGGTTCCAGAGGGGTAACCCCCTCGATTAAGCTACGGTTACTGGGCGAGAAGGCAACGGAATACAATAGGTTGAGATGCGGGCGCTTCCTTCAGATTCCAGGCCCGTTTCGGGCGGGCGGGACCTACAGATGCAAGCGATGGATCGGAAAAGGAATTGGTTTGTCATGGCTTCTTCGAAGCACTATAAGGGTCATCGGGGAACCCTTTTCAGGCCCGCCAAAGCCCTTTGCATTCGCATCTCCGCACTTGGGAGCACCTCCACGTACCTCCCACTTTCGGAGTGATTACCACCCAGCACGTAGAGGGCGTCGTCCCAGACAGCGGCTGCGGACAGATATCTCGGATGCTTCAGCGCGGGGCCCTCGGCCCAGAGCGGCTGCTTTCCTCGAACACCTCCGTGGAGCGCTCGGTGCTGTCGCTCCCGCTGCCTCCGAGGACGTAGAGACGCCCCGCGACCAGCGCCGCCGCGTGCCACTCCCTGCCTCGGCTCAGGCTTGGGCCTGGGGTCCAGCCGCCGCCGCTCCCCGGGTCGAAGATTTCGATGCTGGAGAGCACGGAGTTGCCATCGAAGCCGCCCAGGGCGAAGATCCCACCACCGCGGCCGCCAGGCCCCGTCGCCGCTCGCGCAGGGGCGGCAGCGGCTCCCAGCGCCCAGTGCTGGGGTCGAACCTCTGCACGTGGGTGAGCCTGGAGCCGGGGCCGTCGGAGCCTCCCAGCAGGACGAGCTTGTTCTGGAGCTCGACCGCTGCGTGCCCACACCTGCGCTGCCCGGAGTCCGGGCCCAGGCTCCAGCCCTGAGCGCTCTCAGGGCTCCAGAACTCCATGGAGCTGAGGGGGTGGGGGCTGCTGCCATTCCGCCCTCCCGTCGCGTAGATGGAGTTGCCGACAACGGCGGGCGCAGCGCGGCGTCTCTCGCAGCTGAGGTCGGGCCCTCGGCTCCAAGCCTGGCCGGAGATGTCGAATATCTGCACGGTCCGCCTGGTTTCTTCGCCCCCGATGAGGTAAATCTTGCCGTTCAGGGCGGCGGCGGCTGCTTTGAATGTCGGATGCTGCAGGGGAGGGCAGGCGGCCTCGGATTCGAGCCCCACGGACTCCCATTCATCTATAGCCCCCGGCAAAAATGAAAAATGCTAGAACACGCAGTGAACGCAAACAAAAACTTGCGCAAGGTGTGCACTCCATGCCACCGTCTCGAACTCCGCCGGGTGCTGCCGCTGCTGCAGCAGAATCTCCTTCAGAATGGAGGCGATAAAGTTGCAGGCGGGGGAATTGAAGCTTTCATCTTCCTCACTGTCACCCGAGACCACTGCGCAGGCAACTGGAACGGCCTCTCCCTGCAGCCAGTGCTGCAAGACTTTGGATCTCGGCTCCAGGGCCTTGCTTGAGGCATCCAAGGATTCCGCCAGAGACGTCCTGGTCTTCGCCAGCTTCTCCAGCGCTTCCGCGCATTTCTCCATGCGCGCGAAGACCTGTCGGCGCCGGTCCAAGCAGGCCTCCGGCGCGGTCTTCGTGGCTTCCAGGGCCGGCAAACTCACCTCCTGACAGGTGGGCGAAGCAAAAGCAGCTGCCGAAAAAAGAGCTTTGGACTCTTCCGGCCCTTTTAGAAACGCAAAGAAGCGACAAGTCACCCGAGCCCTGGAGCTGCCAGTGCATCCGAGCATCGGTTTCGAACTGCCTTTCGGAGCCGAAGCCTTGGAAGGCGCCGGCCACGGCTGTGAGGCACCTGGTGGCGAGGGTCTCGGAGTCGACGGAGACCTTCACCATCCCCTTCTCGTCCACCTGCATCGTCAAGTGCCTGTGCTCCACGAAGGCGGATTGGAGCACGTCGCCCACGCCCTCTCTGGCCATCTTCACGTCGAGACGGGGCTGTGCCTCCCGCAGCTTCTTCTTCACCTCCTGCGAGAAAGGGAGAAGGAGCTATAAAGGGGCGGAGCGTGAGGGTTGTTTTGGTGAAGAGGTCCTCGATGAGGCGCGGCAGGCGCTCCAGGCGAAAGGCATCCTCCTCCCGTGGTCCCAGAGCCGTCAGGGCCTCCTCCAAGAGACCCGGGGCGAAGGGCTCCAGCGGCAGCTTCGACAGGATGTCCTTGCAGGCCGTCTCCAGGAACGTCGGCAGCTCCTGTGCTTCACGCTTCCGAGGGGGTTGAAGCAGACCCCGAAAAGGCCCTGACTAATGCCACACGTGCCCGGCGGTCCAGCAGCTTCACTTCTTGTTTCTCAACGGCTTCCAGCTGCTGCTTCAAGTAGTCCTGCATGGAGCTTCGATCATGCATGTAGCCACCACCACGACGCAGGGCTCAAGACATCCCAAGACCTTGTATGGACTCCCCCATCTACCACCGAAGCCTCGGAATGAGCTAAAAGCTACGAGAGATCCTTCACGGGCTTTGCGGCCGTGCTCCAGAACAGCTCCTGGGTCCGCTCGACGAGGAAACCAAAGCGGCACATCAGCTCGTGGCTGGCGGCGGCCTTGAACTTCTCCAGGGCGGCTCCTGGGCTTCAAGGATGGCTGCTGCTGCACTCGGGCCCTGCTACTGTTGAGTTGACGCCGCAGACAACCTGAGGTAAATCTTTGACTCTTCGACGTAGCAGCTTCGGTCAAGCACGCAGGCTTTCTACATGAGCCTTAGGCTTTACGGCTTCCAGGCGACTACGCTTCAGCACTCTTGGCTGAGCTCTTGAATGAGTTCCGCGCGGAACAGACACGTGGCAAACTCACCCAGGGATGAGTTGTGAAGTGAAAGCTTTTCGGCTTAGGTCCTGCAGTCATCTCCATCTCGCACGTCCACGCCGTAAACTCGAAACAGCAAGCTCTCAAGATCCCACATATCTGCGAAGAACCCGAAGCCCAGAACGGCCCTGGCTTCCGGAATCTTGCCGAGGCTCCTTCCAGCTGCCCGCTGGTGAAGGGAAGCCCCATCTCGACGAGCTCCTCGCGACGGCTTAGGGGGTGGATTGCAGCTGGTGTAAGCAACTTGGGGTCTCTGTCACTGAAAGACTTCTCAAGGATCCCCCGTCCTACAAATCACAGTTTCTACAGATGCATGCGATGGCCACAACATGGGTTGCGACCCTGTGCGGTCTCCTCGCAGCAGCCAGTCCACCTGCAGCACTTGGGCTTCGGACAACAAATCGAGAGAGCGAGCGAGCGAGCGAGCG